TACTAAAAAATGTGCTACTTTGCAAATACACATGTGCACAGCTTGTATATAAATGATGATGCCACATGTTGAAGTGAATATTGGGTGTTTTTTTTTGTCTACAACTTAATATTTAAAATAATAGATGGATAAATGTCAAGATGCTCCTTGTTTTATGTGATTCTGTATACTGTATATATCCTTTACATTTAAATAAAAAGTTGTCTTTGTGCTAAGCAATAACAAAGAGTCCATTGTAGTGTTTTGGGGCTTTCCTGATGTGTATTGTAGAAAAACTCACAGGAAGCAAAACAAACAGTGGCTAAATTACTTATTTCTTTAGTCTTTAAAGTCCATTAACCTTTCTTTACAGACTTTCAGGAACAGACTTGTGGAGTATTGCTACGAGTCGAGATTTTCTTTTTCTTTAAGCTGATTTTGCTTTTTAAAAAAAAAAGATTTGAATTGATAGAATTAGGGGAAATTATGAAAGAACTTTAATTTTAGGGGGGGGGTTATTTTATGCTCCGTACTGTGCACATAAGAAAGCTTCAGAGTCAATTTAAATAGCTGTACAGTTTTTACTTTTGCTTTTGCTGTGGTGACATAAGGCTCTTCTGCGCAATGACTAGATTTGGTGGGCCTTCCCCCATGTACGTATGTAAAAGGCACGCATCACCGCCTGCGTGTCAGAGGGGCTGTTAGGCTAACACGGGCTTTAAACAGGCTTCCCAAAGGGTAATGTGCTTGAAAAACGAAACAAGGCTCTGAGATCTCCAAAGAAATCCAGGTTGCTGCTGGATCAGTATGTGGATCCTGCTGGATCACAGTTTCTGTAATCTGCAGTATGTATCGTGCTGTGCTGGGGAGATGCTATCTTTCAGACAACTCATTAAAATCATAGTTCAAGGAGGGAGCTGCATCAGCATGCGCAGGCTGCAAAGGAACAAGTGAGGGTTTATTCCACGCTGGAAAAAGAAGAAAAGAAACACAACGTTTTCGGCTGTGGAGCCTTCTTCAGGTTTTTCTTTTGTTCTCTTTTCAGCGTGGAATAAACCTTTACTTGCTTCTTTGCATGTTAAAATCATGCCTACTTGGTCAGTTGGAATCTAATGTTCCAGAGTTTTAAGTAATACCAGGTCAGTAAGCAGTCGGGTCTCAAAGGCTCCACACGCAGAAAGCAGTCTGTCTGGGTAAAAATACCTCTTAATCAGACTCGAACTGATGATCCAATAGCAGTGTTATCTGTTCATATTTTGGGGTTTTGGTTAATTGAATGTGTTTTGGGTCTTTTAGAATGTTACTGTGGACAAATAAAAAAAAAACACGAAAAACTTGGAATGAACTTTTTTGCTCTATATTGACAGAATGTGTTTCTTCAGTCCTGGAGCTTTTGAGTCTTGCCTCCTGGTCATCTAATCTTTGGAGTACTGAAACTCAAGGCTCAGGGGAGCGTAGCGTTCTGTGCATGCAAGGTTTCTGATAAATGTTTAAAAAAAAAAAGCCAAACAAAATACGAATTACTCTGTTATTTTGAAAAACCACATTTGATTTGCAGGTAGCAACACGGAGTTACGGTGGAGTTTCTGTTAGCCCTGCTGCTTCTCAGCTTTGGGGTTCCGAGTTCATTGTTCTAGAGTAGGGTACAGTCTCTGTGGAGTGTGCATGTTCTTATTGTCTGCATAATTTCCTTTCAGGGATATTTGGTGTCCCTGTGAGTTTTCCTGAAGAAAGACTGTCCAGAGCATAGTCCTGGCTTGGGCCTTGTGTTGCTAGTGGTCTATGATAGTCCCTATGTTGCCATTACCCTTACCCCTTACCAGAGGCACACAGCTCTCTGATAGTAGATGGGTGGATGGAAAACTGAATTTAAGTCCTTTGGTATTATTTCCATCAGCAACCCAATAGTTGTATTTCACATTTCTGTATTTCTTCTTCTGTATTTTGGATCAGTGAAGCATATTCAAGTTGAATGTAGTTGTATGGTCTTAATATATCAATCACTCAATGTATTGTATAAGATGCGATCTGCAGGAATACTATATTATCGATTAGTGCTTGGTTTTTTAGTTTTCTAAAACCTTAGGATTTGTGACCCTACATGTAGAACCCTTAGATAAGGGGATGGATCCCAGGGTTTTTTACTTCAGAGTAAGGTCAGTTTAGGAACACAGTGCCACATTCCAGTAGACCTATCAAAGATATATTATGTTTGTGTTAAATAAACTGTAGATTGAAAGCAAACAACAAGCATAATGATTTAGAAAATTGTACATTCTGTGTGTTTGAATCTTTTTTTTGTATTCATATGCAGTGAAGAGCTACTTTTCGCTGACATATGAGATATGGATGTTTTTAGGATTCAGAATTGAGGAAAAATTCTGGTCATGATTTTTAATTGTGTGCATTTCTTCAAGCAGGATTTTTTTGGACTCGAACCCAACAGTTGTATTTCACATTAATTGTGTAAGGAGGAATAGCCTAATATGAGATTGTGATGCTTATGTGTAGCCCATTGGTGCATAATTTTTTAGACGCCAGAAAGTACAACAATAATCCCTTCAGTGGGTTGATGTCTTCAATCGCTGTAGTATCTAAAGGCTGCTGTTAAAGCATTTGATTTGTTTTTGAGACTGAACAACAAAATAAGACTTAAAATTCAAAAATAATGTACAAATTCCTTACGGGTAAGACTAAATATAGAAAAATAAAACCTTTAGACAAGGCCTATGTCCACAATGTTACAATTTTAACACTAAAAGATGTGATTTAGCTGTACTTCTTTCCTTTAGAAGAGTTTCTGCAAATGAGTGCAACCAAGACAGTATTTCTCAACTAAATGTAGGCACACTGCTCCCCTCCCCGCATAAATACTACTTATGTGTCACCAGTCCAAGCACATTAATTTTAATATTCGAAACAAACTTTATTTCAGTTTTTGCCTCACAACTCAGGTGACATTTTGATTACTCCCCAAGATGAAAACATATAAATTTACTATTTTTTATTTTTAATAGCACATCCATTTATATGTTTAAGCACACCGGTTGAGAAGCTGTGATCTAAGGGATTTATATTTTCTGCATTTCTTCAAATGAAAAGCAGTGGGTCTTCAGGGCACAATATTTAAGAACACTGTGCAATTATCACCCAATAGCTGCCCCCAGGGAGATATCCAGGCAGCATTTGGTAGCAGGCCAGTGTCAGATGAGTGTATTTAAGATTTCGTTGGTGGTTTGTTTGGCCCTGATTGTTGGCTTCCCTTGAGAAAAAGCAGAGTGGAGGTTGATGTTTGTATAATAAAAAATCCCTATTGATCATGAAGGGAGTCTGTGGCATCTCCGACATCTTTTCAGGTGTACATATTTTAAAAGCCTCAGGATGTATCAGTGGAATGCAGGAAGAAAGCAGACAAGATGCAGATAATAGCCTCCTTTTTTAAAGGGGCAGGTAAAAAAGCAAATATGTACTCCCTAAAACCAACTATAAAAACGATCACACCTGAAGAAGGCTCCACGGCCAAAACGTTGTTTTCTTTCTTCTCTTTTCAACATGGAATAAACCTATTACTTGTTCCTAAAAAACTGTCGCCATGTTTATCATATTGTAAAGCTAAGATTCCAAGTATAAATGCTGTAATTTGATTATATTTACCCTAGTTTGTTTTTTTGTTGTCTAATTTATAGACTTGCGGTAAAATATCAAAACCTCTCTGTTCTTAAATTGGTAATGCATTATTTAACAAAAAGAATAACCCGTCTTGTTGATATAGATCTGAAAAGATTCCTTGACTCTCACTCAGTAAATTCTATCTTACGATAGACCTTTTCTCATTTATCCTTTATAGTTCAGAAAGAGCACCACCTTAACCAGGAAGCAAAGATGAAAATTAAAGAATATTAATTCATCTCATGTTTTGAATCGTAGGTCTCCCAGTAACCCAAATCACAATCGTGCTTGGGAAACAAACAAGAGCAATCGCGTCAAAGTAATGACCTGCTTAAGAAGGTTGAAAAACGCCCTTAGACCAGAGTAACCTCTTGTGATAAATAGAATATAAAATAGAAATACACCCACAGCAACCTCAGCATTTTAGAGAAACACAGTTCTGAACGGGCCTTTTATAGCTTTGGATATGCATGCTGTAGTGTTCAGTCCTATTACAAATAACATAGTTAGGAAATACCCTTTTTTTTGGTAAGTTGTTTCTAATGGCGTTAGTTCACAGGATTCAGAAAATATATACAGTACATTTACAGTATAGTTAAGTATCTCTATGCAGCACATCATAGAGTGCATGCCACAGTTACATGATGAGGAGACAATTATACTTTACAGGGCAAGGACATTAATCTGTTTACAGCAGATCAAGATGTCATGCAACAGTTGGTGGCAAGAAATGACTTTTTTTCCCCCAATGTAACACTTTTCCCTTCCAATCCAAATACTCAAAACCAGAAGATGGAGGTTTTCTATCTAGAAGTGTGTGGCGGGGAATTGAATAGAAGGAAATGCTACAGTAGGTGTTCGGAAAGAAAATGAAGGTCATTATCTTTGTGGGGAGAAGAAAAAAGTTATCGTTTTCTCTGTGATATGTAGGGCATAACTGACGCGTTCTTTTTTAATTTCAGTTGTGCGTTATAGCTATCACCAAGTCATTAAAACTGTGTTTTTAAATATTTTATTGTTGGCTCTTTGGAATTTTAATTTGGATGCAGGAATGTGGCAATTTTAAGTTGGCAGAGGAAGCGGATTAGTGGTTCTGAGAAGACCACTGGAGAACATTTTAACTTGAAGTAAGCCTTTGCTATGAAAGCCCATTAGTGTTTTACTCAAATTTGTTTCAGCACTTAACTTGAACTGTGCCTGCAGGGAAGCCGTGTTCAGTAAATAAGCGCAATTATTATCACAGTGAGTGATATTAAAAGCCCTTTTATAGCCTGTTAGCTGAAATGGTTGTGAATGAGGTAAAGACTGTGAAAGAACTCTAACTTTACTTTCCTTGGGTTTTGATACGATAGGAATTCATCCTACTTGAAAAGCAAAGAGGAAAAGAAGTTAACCCTTCAACTTTGCAACAGGTATTTGGGAATATATATATATATTTTAAAAATCTTTCCACTCTTTTATTTGTGAATAGCTGGCAGCTTGTGTATAATCTTTTCCTTCCATGTCCTTTTCCCAAACATGCTAATCATGATTCTGCTGGTACAAAAACTGTGAAACCTCTTTTTAATTCTCGCTTGTCCTGTGGTGGGGTTGCTAGTGCAGGATGGTTGCTATTCATCACGCAGGTGGGTGCTGAACTTCACACATTAGAGGGAACCCCCTTCATTCAGTACTGACGTGCTGTGGGAATGGAAAGTCTTACTCAAATGTGAGCAATTATCATAGCTGTCTAGAGCTCTTGCAGTGCATTGCGAAGATACAGAAATTGATTTTAACATGTAGAGCAAAAACTTTCATTACCAAACATTTATTTCTTTCCTAATTGGAACCTTCCTGTTGGAAGTTCACTTTGGTGATAATTATAGGATCATAATGTTGTCTGTGTTACAAAAATGAAAGGTTATAAATTTTTAAGATGTTTTCCAGTGACATACAAAAATGTACAGCATGTCAGCACTGTAAGTATCTAACGGAAATGCCGTCAACTGAAATTCAGTTTTAGTATTCCTGCAGATGTCTTATTTTTCACATAGTATTCCATTTTCCTAAGATAATACAACTATATAGTATCAAATACAATGCTGATGACGGGTTTTGCCTCATATCATTTGGATTTTGGACTTCACTTGCGACTATGGTGAAATATCTTTTTATTTATGGCCCAGAATTGAATTACAGCATGCGTTGGTGTTCAGCATTTATCTTCCACTGCACATTTTTTCTTCTGAACTTTGTCTTCGTTTCTCTTGAATTCCAACTGTAGGCATGTGACATAACGTAACCAGCTGGTTCACCTACAAGTGTGATTGAAAAGATGCCAAAATAGCAAGTCAAAGGGAGTGAGCTGCAAAAGATCTTGCAGCTTTGGTGAGGTAATCTATGCAAAAACGGACCAAACCCATGCAATTAATTATGCACTTTTGTTATGTATTCTAAAAGTAAAGAGGCAGACAGCCATGTTTAGCAAACAATATAGTAGACTAACTCACTGTGATCCTTCTGTCGTGTGTAATGGGATAAAATTTCCATTGAGTTACTGAGCCAATGAATTACATTCCTTTAGATGCTGAATCACACCAGTTAGCATGTTGTTGTGATCAAGTTATATGTGGAGTAAGTATTGTCCTTACATCTTCATACAGTTACTTCAACAGTTAACTATTGTGTACAGTAGTTCAAGTCCAGTAGGTAGCTGCGTCAGCATGAGTAGGCTGCAAAGGAACAAGTAAAGGTTTATTCCATGCTGAAAAGAGAAGAAAAGAAACACAACGTTTCGGTTATGGAGCCTTCTTCGGGTGAATCGCAAGAAGAAGGCTCCACAGCCAAAACATGTTTCTTTTCTTCTCTTTTCAGCGTGGAATAAACCTTTACTTTTTCCATCATGTACAGTAGGCAATTAAAATAGGGGTATATGAAGTTCTCAAAGCATAGAATGTGCCTCTTTACCAGTAAGGGTTAAGAACATAAAAAAGGTTGTGAGCATGAGGAGCTCATTTGGTTGTGAGCAGCTATCTGGTTCATGGGTCACATCCTGCTGTTTCTTGCTAGAAGCTACAGTATTATCTTTGTTGTGATGTTTAAGAAGCTTGTTCCCGATTTCCACGTTTGCATAAAGGAGGGCCTCCTGTTCTCAGTTTTAAGTGCATTTCTCCTTCATTTCCATTTTTTCATGTTTCACTGTTGTCCGTTGGTCTGACTTCAGTACCTTTGAGGAACTTTCTGGGGTTAATCAGATGAGAAATGGAGATTCTAACTGTAGCGAGGCACCAAGTTTACCATTTGTCTTCAGGATGTTGCAGCCAGTAACTAATAATCAAGCTCATCGTGATTAAAATGTTGATTAAAAATCAGTTAAGAAGTTCCCAAGTTTAAGTGATCCACTGTCACACCAATTTGAAGATCCGTGCTGTAAGCAGTTATATCATTGTGAAACAATCAGCTTAGAGTGATGATTTCACCTGCAGACGCTGTTGTTGGACAGTCAGACACACTCTCTCAGCTCCATTAACATTTATTGAACACATTCTTAAGCTACAGTATAGCCAATAATGCTATTATGGTGTATGAGTCAGGCCTACAAAGTTTCAGGCGAGTCTAATCCACATAGAAATCAAAAGCATTATATGAGCTCCTACTGTGTTTGTGAATTGCCTGCTGGCCAGTGTTTTGTGAAATAACAATATTGAAGTTATTAGTCAATGCTAGTTTAACGTCAGGGTCTAGACATATGATGTAGGATTCACCTAGACATAGGATGAATTCTTAGGCTGGAGAATCTCATTTAATAGAAGTACCCAGAGAGCCACTTGGATGGGATTTTTCAGTTATATTACTAAAGCTGCTGTAGGTTCAAAGCCAACTAAATACTATAGAGGGTCAGTAAATGTTTTTCAATATTCACAGATTCCCAGGTTTACAGTGCTATTGCTTACAGCAGAGTTTAAACTGTAGCAGTTTCCAGTACGGTTTCTGTGCTGCAGGCAGTTTTATTTTGGAGCCACATTGTACAGATAGAGCCGAGGAGCAAATGAAATTTATGGTCACCATTCGAGTTTTGATAAACACGTCCATAGTAGTGCTTGATTTCTTAAAATAGATACCAAAACATTTTGGAACAACATGGTATTTGTGGCTTGTATAAGCACAGAGGAGAACAGTCTAACTTCGTGATGATTTTTTACAACGAAGTGTGACTGCTCAATTCTGAGACATCTCCAAACCCCAGCCCTTTCCCCTCCACACCTCTCCAGTTGCCAGCCACGCAAGTTAAGGTACAGTAGAATAAAACACTTCTTGTTATGCAAATGGCACTACAGAATGGGCCTCCTCCCTTATTCCACATACAAAAGCAGAAAAGTGGCTGAGAATTCTGGCAAAATGGCACCTGTGAAAATAGACAAACAGTGTTGCCAAGACAGGAAGTGAGGGACAAGCCAGCACTGGCCCAGCAGAGTATTTTTAGCATTTGTAAACTCGGTGTCAAAATCCTTCTTTGAGAAACAATGTTGACTTGTAGAGTTATCATTAAGAATAAATAACAAAGGCTCCAGGGGAAGTCTGCTGTCCAGTATCCTTGACAGTGTGCAGGCAATGTCTCTTTCAGAAAGAGAAAAGAATAGCACATCCAAAACATTCCTGAGGTACCATAGTGACAGAATCCATACCTTAGGGTGAGTCATAGTGTGAATCTGCATGGGGTCAGAAAAGTTCTAGGGCACAATTTAGACTGAATTAATTCATGACTTGGTATTCCCCAGAGCTATAAAAACATTCTTCCATTCATTATCCAGGGCAATGTCAGGGCACTGTGGTTCATTTTTGTTGTTCTGGATAAAGAAGTATGACGTTTGATGCGGATAAAAAAAACGTAATCCACCCCCTTGTCCTATAAACGTGGAAACATGCCAAGAGGACTTGTATTTTTTGTGGTAAAAATGATGGCTATCTTTTAAATTTAAAGTTTGCCATGGAAAGTTAAAACTTGCCTTTATTTGGCCTGAATGTGATCCTTTCGTGCTTTGTGACTTCAATAAAGTTATATCATGATAAACTAACAAGACCGCAAGTGAAACTGAGGCTAACGAGCCTTAATCATATCGAACCTAAACACGTCTGCAGCTTGAAGTCCTGCTGTAATGGGAGCTAAGCCTCTTAGGAAGCAATGCACAGGTTTGCTTTTTTTGCGAGAGAAACAGAGAAAGAACGTTTCAGTCATGATTTACCCGTGATAAGCTCTCTCTTCTGCTATTGATAAGTTGAATCGCAAGCAAGTGGAAGGGAGAATGTCTGAGTTCATTGATCGTTTCTTGCCAAATCTTTATAAAATGGTGCTCATGTTGATATAGGCAGAGATAATTTTTAAGTACACCATCTTTAACATGCCATTAATTTCCATTTGCTTTCTGGGATGTTTACATCTCTGTTGTGGGAGGTGTGATTAAACAGTGCCGTTTTTATAACATAGTGTTTGCATGTCCCTTGAGTTCTAATGTGTGGAATAGTAATCTCCAATATTTGTAAAAAAAAGGAGCCTATCCTTCACTAAAATCCAATTGTTTTTTAATCATTCAAAAACCTCCATCACTCTAGTTTTAAAATGATGCAGTGGACATTTGAAACCATAAGTAAGCCTGCTGGCTGCCAGGACTTTGAGATAGTCCCATCTAAACAAATTTAAACAAATCGCTTTAAAAAAAGAAAAGCATTCATGTGCCTCAAAACGCTGCCGGACAGCATCTGCAGTGGAGGAAATGATGGCTATCTTTTATTGTATGTTGTTCTTAAAATATTTTTTATGACCTTACCAGCTCACGTGAAATCATTTGAAAAATACTAAAAATGAGAAAAATAAACTACTGTAAAATGCAGATACCAGGTGTTAAAATTTATTACATTTTCAATAATATTTATATTATGCTACTTTATTCTTTTCTGTTATATTCTAATATAGAATACATACAGAATTCTGCATATAGAATAACGTAGAATGCTGGATTATTTTATCAAAGATGTGCAAGTCATACCAAAGCCAATTTAAGACCTCAGTAATGTCTTAATTATTTGTGAGGTAGTTTATTTTTTTGCTTATTATCATGTTTGGTCTCAAACTACACTGTAGGCCTACTTTTCTGCCTTCTCAAATGTTGTATGTTGATTTCACTTTTGTTTTTAAATGTGGTTTTGCTTGTGAATCATGAGTCATATCATGTATTTAGACATAAATTACCAATGCTTTCCTTTTCACTTATACGATTATGACTACACATCATGTCTAATTCCTTTGTTACTAAGAGCTGTTTAGGAAGGCAATTTACTGAAAGAGATGTGTTTGAATTGTCTGTAGTTTATTTTTTACTACAATGACCTTACCAGCTCAAGTGAAATCATATGAAAAATACTAAAAAATTGAAAAAAAACTGCTGTAAAATGCAGATACTGTACCAGGTGTTAAAATGTATTACATTTCACATTTTACATAGGCCTTTACTGTCAGACTAAAATGTCTGACAGTATAGGCCTATTCATCAATGTCTACATAGAAAATGTATTTCTGTGCTTGTATAGTTGGTACATTTTAAGTGAAACTGGGGTGATTTATTAATAAAAATGAGATTATATTGACTTTTTTTTTCCAAAGCTTATTTAAAAACTCCTCATCTGAAGGTCAAAACGCATTGCTAACAAATTAGATGCAAATCTTGTTGTCCTAGGGCTGGGCAGTGTAAATTGGCCATCCCTGTTTATACTGCCTTAGTAGGCTTTTAATGTCCCTTTCATTTTTTATCTGAACAGCAGTTTTAACACCTTCTAGCCAGAACTCAGAGTTTTGGGCCTGGTCAGTATAGAGGAGGGAGACCTTCAGGCTGTGAGTGGAGCTGATAGACTAGTGGCTAGGCCAGGGGTCCTGGTCTTCCCTCTGTATTTCTATATGACCTGGTATATTAACTAGAGCCTGTGATTTCATTCCTTGGATATTGGTCATCCTAATCATTCCCCATACTGAGAAAAATGTCGATTTAACTCGATGTCAGCAATATTCCCTGCCGCAATAACAGAGTCATTATTTCCTTTATTGAAAGGCTCCCATGTAACAAATGACTCCATTAACACTACAGTTGTGTTTCGACCCTGTTGTACTCTGGCAGGTGTAATTACAGAGCTTTGATTTGCTGGAGCATTCACCAGCAAGGAGACCTCTTGCTGTGCCGTCAAAGGGAGCCTTGGAGCTTTTTCACCATTTTGTTTATTTCATCACCTGGGCAAATTCAAACTCTTCCTGAATTCTGGGATTTGTTTTAAGCGTTACTAGTAAAATGGAAGATGGGGCTGTTTTTTTTCCACAATCTAAATAATAAATTAAATGGACTGAAACACTTTCCCCAGTTTAGCCCTTTAAACACCTTGATGAGCTCTCAAGTCTGGAGGATGGTAACGATGGGCTGTTTTCACACAAAAAGACTTAATTAGCAGGAGAGATCCTGCTTGCACCTGCGTGCTTGTTTAGTAAAAATATATTTGTGTTTATTATGTTGGACTATTGCCTAGTATAAATGAATGGAGATCAAGCCTCTACAACCTTTTGTGTCTATGCAAACTATATGATATCAATACTCATACATATATGCACATTTTGTAAGAAATATATTGAATTTGAACTTTTAAGTTTAGTTTTAAAACCTTTGTTTTAAGCACATTGAATAACTGGTCTCTGAGCGAGACGGAATGCGATAATGGCCTGGCGTTATATAGAGATAAATCATTGCTGTGTTTTTGTCTCCATTCACTTTGAAAATGTTCAGTTTGTGGGATCTGAAGAATCTTTATCTTTATGGAACTTTATTGTCCATCCAAAAGGGTGACAATTGGTCTTTGGCATCACCATAAAAGGGGAAAAAAACAGTTCTAAAATGTCTCCCTCCCTGCAGGTGAAAGTTGAAAATGGTAATGAAGAGGTTTGGAGTGCTCCTTAAAAAATGAGCTGAGTTTTCCTTCGAACTGGATTATATTACAGCTCATTAAGTTATTTCTCTGGTCGACCAATTACGTTATTGGCAATACGAACAATTCTGACCACTTGGCCCTTACTCTTAATACTCAGGCTACCATACCGGGGTACCAAAAAGTAAGGATGCTTTCTACTAACTTTCTATAAGCTTTCTCTAAAACGTTTTAACCCTTTCTAATTCCTGATTTAAAAAATATATGTTCTTAAAAATGCAGTTGGTATTCATTGCAAAGTTTAAATGTTCATGTATTACTGTTCCTTGGTACAGTATTTGAAACCCTGAACACCCTCCACGGGTTGATAAAATAATGGAGTGAGTCTGACGGTCCAACTAGCTAGCCAGTTCTTTCATTTCATTTCATGAAGCAAACTTGATAGATACCACCCTTTCAGTTTACTAATCTGTTCAAAGTAATTCTCCACCCTTATTATTCCAAGGAAAACAATCCAAGTAGGGCTATATCATCTGCGTACTTCAATAAACTAACAGAAGTTCCCTCCATTCTCATCTCTTTCATATAGATGGAAAACAGTGTCAGTTTATTATATTGACTGTATATTGCTTATTTATTCTTTGCATTCTGTGTGCTACAGGAGGGGTTTGTCTCCGTGAGGGAAACAGTTTGGCTTGTATTCAAAATCATTACTGCCTTTGCTCTAAGCATTTCTGAAAATACCGTAATTTTTACAGTTTGACAGAAGCAGTGCTGGGAAACTTGACATTTCAGAGGAAAAGGGATGAAACAGCAGATATTGGAGCAGGATATACCATGATGATATTCAATTCCATTACATTACCCTATTGATTCTTTGGCTAGCTAGACTGCACTCAGAGAGCAGGGAGAATATCACCTCGGGCGCACTACAGTATTGGTCTATGGGAGCTTTACTACTATGGGAAGAATTATACACGCTTTACACCCAAAGCCTTTGAACAAAAGTTTCTTAATTTTTGTCACACATTGCATCACTCTGTTCATATTTCTTTAAAGCTGTGAAATCCATCAGGAATATTGAAGCTAGAAATTAAGAAACCCATAAAATGTAAAGAAGGTTTGAAGTCAGAATGCCTGTTACTGCTAAACACAATTACGTTGTGCTTGTATTTCTTATCTGTTCATTTTCGAATATTGTACTATTATTAATTTGGATTTAGTTTCTGTATCGGAACGTAAGCCAGTCAATGCCAATAGTTATTTCCATCCATTGTTGCATTGGATAAGAAAGAAGCCTGTCGTTTGGTAGTGAGTTACTATGGGAAACCAGGAAAGAACTCCTTTAAAGTGAATTGCCCCTCTGCTGCTCCTGTATCCTTAAGGAATGGGGGAATCCTAGAGTACCGACAGATTCACAGTTATGGTAGTCTTTGTAAAAATAGAAAAAAGGCATACACCATTTTCATTTGCTATGAATATACAATTCAAGGTGTTGTCTAGGTTCTAAATAATTAAATATGTTTCTCATTTGAATTTTGTTGAGCATGGTTTCACTTTTGTAAGACTTATGCCATGGACAGCTTGGTCAAAATCACCACACCTCGTGTGTCTGCTCTTTAATTGCATGGTTTCTGGCATTCTGGTTTTAAAGAGACTTGCAATTTCAAATCCTCTATTTAAAGAATTACTTCACCTGACAGGAATTGCAGAGCATTAAACTGCACTCTGTGGAAACGTGTGATAATGGTCTTTCTTTTGACTTTTTGGTAAACATCCTCTAAACTGTTGAGAAATGAAAATCTCGAGGCAGTTAGGGAAATATGCAGTTTTGGTTATTTCTAGGGCAAATGCATTAAACTAAGCTCACATATTACACTATCATTTAAATGGCTCCTTGAAAGCTGTGTTACAGTAGTTCTCGTTGGAATTATGACTATAAATCCTGTAAATTTTAATATTAAATTTAATCTTTCTATACTTTATTTTTAGGGGTTTTCTGAAGGCTCTTTCCCTTTATAAAATATAATTCTAGCGAAACCGGCAGAGTGTTCCAATCATGTGCTAACATCCTGCTCTTTTTGTGTCCAGCCGCCTTCATCTCAACAAGAAGACCACAGACAAACAGCCCTACAGCAAACTAGCTGGTGTCTCGCTACTCAAACCCCTGAAAGGAGTGGACCCTAACCTCATCAATAACCTGGAGACCTTCTTCGAACTCGACTACCCCAGGGTATGTCAGTCCTCTTACAGTACAACTCAATTGGGATTGCTTACACTTTTTGTGGATGAGGTTTCTAAGAAATTTCTTTCTCGTCTCGGTACAGTACCGGCTAGTGGTTACCATCGGACTCGGCACCATCAGTACTGAAACAGTTCAAGTAGGGAGCTGTGTCAGCATGCGTAGGCCGCAAACGGAACAAGTAAAGGTTTATTCCATGCTGAAAAGAGAAGCAAAGAAACGCAGTGTTTTGGCTGTGGAGACTTCTTCGGGTGTAAAGAAGGCTGCACAGCGGAAACATTTTCTTTTCTTCTCTCTTCACCATCAGTACTGGTCTGTTACAAATTTAATTCAAAAATCTATTTTTTCCCCCAACATAAGAATGGTTAAAGCAAGGTGAGGTCATTTTGCTCCTATAGTCTGTTTGGTAGTTAGTAGTTCATCGATGCAAACATTTCATCCAGCTGTTTCTTGAAAGAAACCTGTGTAGCGGCTTCAGCACTATGGCTGGGTAGTTAATTCTACACTCCCATGATCCTTTGAGTAAAGATGCTCTGTTCTTAGTTTGAAATGCACTTCCATGTCGTATCCCCCTGTGTCTCTGGGTTGTGCTTCATCGGTTTTTCTGAAGAAGTACACTGGATCGACCTTTTTCGGGGCCTGTGAGGATTTTGAGTACTTGTATCATATTTAAATGTGAAAATAACTTACTTTTTTATATTAAATGACTGGTAGTGGAGTAAATTTACATTCTGCACTCTGGTTTGAAACTGAAAGTGTCTGAAAACATCATATTCCACTCCCTTCTCTTTCGACCGCATACATTTTGGTGGTTAATGCTCAGATACTATTTTAGAATGTATGAATTGTGTGCATTTAGATTTGCCTTCATAACGTTGTTGATTTGCTTTGGGTTTGGCAGAATAAAAGTTGAGTTAAAATGTGTTTTGTAGAGATACGTTTTAGTAGTTATATCTTACTGTGAAATGTGCAGCATCTTACATCTTAAGTATTGTCATTGATGTATATATTATACTAAAATCGACATCAAACACAAATATTGTTAATATAAATAATGAATAAATAAAAAACTAAAATAATAGTTGTTTCATTGTCCAAATTAAGCAAGGTTATGGAGTAAAAAAATAACTCAATCTTGTATTGCATTAAAATTTAGGTTCACTGAGCTCAAATTCACTGTGCAAGGGGTCGTCATGACTGTCAGTGATTACACTGGCCTTCTGCACTATTTGTTTGATGTAAATATCTAAAAGTGTGAACCAATTATTTTGCTGGCTACCTTCACAATCCTGCTCTGTCTGTTTTTATTGTGAGTATTAGCAAATGAGGCCACTGCAGTGACTGTTAGGACACTAACAATGTCAATGAAAGTTCTATAGAATAAAGTCATTGTTGTAGTACACACAAGAGTGGAGTTTGCTTAAGAAGAACAATCACTGTTGGCTCTTCTTACATATAATCTTTTCCTCAGAAACACTGGTTAGTTTGTAATCAACAATCATGCCAACATATTTGACAATTTTAGTTTTCAGCCTGGTGACTACGGTATAAAATAGAGATAGATGTCTATCAATTTTTTTGTAAGTATATGTCAGTAATGGTTTGTTTCAGGTGTAATTATTTTGGTTCATTTGCTATTTGCAGCCCAGTGTGTAGTGAGTTTATAGCAGGGTACTCAAGCGATTTTAAAAATAACATTGAGTCAGACTTGCCTTGATGTAAAACAGGTTGGAGTGTCACGTATTTCCAAGAACATTCCCAGGCCAGTGGCATTTTTAGTGTTTGTACTAAAAAAGATGAGTTTCAGGTTATTCAGCCTATTTCTGAGACCTTAATGCATGAACTTTCATCACATGTATAACATTTACAAATAGGCTTTATGGTTTAAGGTTGTATGAGCAGGTAGACCGTATACAAACAGGCTAATACAGACTGGGTTTTAAAAGGACCAAGCAGTCCACAACATTTGAAGCTGTGGAAGGCAGCCAGCTGGACCCAGGCTTTAAAAAGGCTGAGAAACACCGGTATGGCCTATAAGGTATTGGATATCAACACTGTGAGGAAGCTTCTTTTTTGGAGAAATAAAGCTTTCATAGCTTATTCCCTTTTCTAATGTAGCTAGTATACAGGCGATAGTCTTTTTTATAGAAAGTTGAAGTGGTCTCTGTTTAACATGTGAGCTCTATGCATTTTGCGGAAATTCTCCTCAATTTCCCTTTCTGTAAAAACAGCTGTACTGTTTACTGCGTAGCAAAAAATGACATAACAAGTACAGTCATTTGTACAACTGGAAGATGTGCTGTGTTCAGGGCAGAAGGACTATGGTCGGACTGTGATCCACAGTCCTGTGCACTTCTCCTTATAGCGAAGGACCCCAGCAAATTCAGTAGCGATTAGTTGCTCAACGCACCTTTCTCCAGCATGCGACTCACTCAAATTCTGTCGTGCATTTTGTGTACTTTACTTTTGGAAGCTGCGTCTCCGTTCTCTTTGTGTTTAAAACCTCTGTGACCTTTTCTGTTTTAATGAGGCCTGGTGCTGTTTAGTTTTCTTTCCACTGTTTTGTTTGCGACATGGAGTTTGCCGATTGCCAACAGGATTCTTTTCCTGTTTGTGAAAATCAGTTAACTCCAGTCGGCTGTAAATTCCTATCCTTTTAGGAAGGAGTTTATAAGACAAAAAAAATGTAGTTTAAAACTCAAGAAATGAGAACATCCTAAGCTCTGAGGTACTTAAAATGAAAATAGCAGAGCAGAATCTCCTCAACCTGATGCAGTTCTGCGCTGTGATTCAGGCTTTATGTTGTGTTCAATTTTGACTGATCGAGTGAAAACCCTTATTGCTGACTCTTCCCCCTGGTTCTTAATTTTGCCATTTTGCTGGCACAAGCAGGCTGCCACGGCTGAGTCGCTCAAGGGTGACAAACAGCTGGCACATACGGAATCTGCCGATTCTGTTGTTTAATCCTTGCTGTGCTGTTTATTTGTTCTGAGCTTTGGAATTAACCAATTAACTGGCACTGCAAAATGAGTCTCATCTAAAAACAGAGCCCCTTGTTTACTAATTACAAATCCAGGCACGGGAATTGTCAGTCTATCTCAAAAAGCTCCAGACAAAAAAAGCGGACCTATGATAGCCAACGGGAAATTGAAGCTCATTATTTTAAATAAAAGACATTTTGTTTTCCTGTAGCTTTCCTGCTTTTGCGTGGTATTAGTTATGGCCATATTTTAATTATGATTGTGTTTCAACTGAGAGTTTGAACTATTTGCATTTACAGTGTAGTAATTATTTTTCTAGGTCCCTTCGCTGTTTGGTTTTTGGAGGCTTCCTTTTTTGCCCCAAGGAAAGCAGATAGTCTTTTGTGTTTAGTGTACATCAGGTTTGCAGCTTTATGGATGCAGCTTTTAGCTACCAGCACCAGGCAGGTGGCTGGAGATCTCTGATATTACAGGCCAACAATAGGGTATCTGAGCACCACACCAGAACTAATTATGTTTGTAATAAGAGCCATAACGGAATATTACACAGCTGACTGTGTATTGTTGGAAAAATATACTTCAACGTGACCCCTTCGCCTTATATTTATTTTTTCACAAATATAAACGTTTGTGTATATGTGCAAAGTGTGCTTCAGTTTTAGCTTCAGTTAAATTCTACTTTTAGTAGTAGGGTATTGACTCTACTTGGTCTACAACAAGTTCCACAGCAATGCTGAAAAACAAAAGACATAAATTTGCTGAATAGCAAGTACTTGTTTTCCAAAATCGAATGTTGTGGTTGGTTGTAAAATGAGATTTTACAGTTTCATCAAGCAGCACGATTAGCAAGGAAATGTGAAGCTTGTGTTGAAAAAGAATGCCATGCTTTCTGTAATGCCATCCTGATCTGTTGTCTTTAAATGTTATTTTGAATCCTCTGGTTATGAGATCCTGGTTAGAGAGATCTGTATATTTAGAAAAGATGCAGTTACAGTATATTGACAGATTTGGTTTTGAGATCTCTGTGACCTTTTGAGATGTCTCATATTGGAAGTCTTACATTTTTCAAGTTTTCATTTATTAACACAACAAGTATTGAATGAATGCTTGCATTTTATTTAATTTGAAGGCTGCTGCGTACATGTACAGTCACTGTATTTAAGTCATAATTGCCATTAAGTCAATAAGTGCCATTAACAAGTCATTAAGCCAATTGAAAACACATTCTTATTTCCAGAGAGAGTCTCTACATACTGTATCTTCAGTAGTTGGCCATTTTACTGATGCACCTTCTTACTGCTACAACTGCTGTTTCTCTCCCAGGCTTTGAACCCTTGCAGCTCCCAATCCAGAACCCTGCCTGTATCTCTGTACTGTCTGTAGTACTTTATTTTTATGTCAGGGTTTCTCCGAACCAGAAAAAAACAGGCCTTCAGACGTGTTTGTGGTTTGCTGCTTTTCTTCATTGTTAGCTTGGCCGACATGTTTTGGCTCTGCACATCTTTTCAAGAGCAGAGGTCTTTGTAAAAGCAAAAACAGCCCTTCAGAGTTCAGAGTGGGGTCTGCTCATCTTAGAGCTGCCTGCCTATAATCACATTTTCTTGTGATTACAGAAGTTGTCAGAAATGCCCGATGTTTAAGTAGTTGGAGGCAGTATGTTCTGGGATTTCTGATAACTAACATTGTTACTTAGTGCTATTTTAAGCCAGCTATGTTTTGCTGGTTTTGTCAAAGTATATACTTCTTGAAACAGGATGACTCTTCAAATATGTCCCCTCATCTTAGAAAATAATATTAGAAAAAAAGCAATCTGTTTCATCTGTTTATATAAAATAGACAAACAAAGGAATGTAGTAGCGGATAACAGGAGAGAGCACTACTGGAAAGATACAGATAAAATTCTGCTTTTGTTTTTCCTCATTAATTAGTCTTATTTTTGCAGCCTGTACCTTCTGTTCTGTGCTGATCGCAGTCAATCACACAGATCAGGTATCCTTGATATCCTGCTGT